GGAAAGTGTCCGTTTGTACAGGTGGTCGTCTTATAGAGGTGGCCGTCAGGGCAGGTTCGACTGTAGTATTATTATTAAGGAGGAGGAATTCCGCAACGAGCGACCAATATGAAACGGATAAAAATAGAGAGTTGTTAGGGTTAGGCTGAGGCTTAGGGACAGGGGTAGAGGTGTGGGTAGGGGTTGTGACAGGGGTATGGGTAGGGGTTGGGATAGAGGTATGGGTAGGGTTAGGGTCTGGCCCGGGGTAGGCCTAGGGCTAGGAGGATAGGTCTTTCCTTGTCATAACAAATTCCAATGACTATACATTACCATATCATCACAGCGTCCATATCATGTGTGCTCAACGTCATCTTTGTTTAGATCTACAAGTAAGTGCGCTTTTGTGCTGTGCGTATCTATTATATATTTGGCAACTTGGAAACACACGTGTCATTTTTCCAATAAAACTACGACAGCTACAGAGTTGAAAGTTGGCAAGCACCTGCAAAAAAAATAGATAGGGCCCGATGACGGAGCCTGATTTCTTATTTATTCATTTCCTGAATTTAGAAAAATATATTTGACAAAAAGTTCCCGTCCTTCTTTAGCCTTTTTTATTATTTCACTGAGAAACGAAACAAAACTGCGTATGCTGTCCTCCACAGCGGAAGTGCTGGAAGTGATATTTCGCGAGGCGCATTTTGTTTTGAGAGTATAGATCTAGACCTTCTCATTTTTTGTATCTCAAGATTGTTGCTCCATTTCAGTAGAGTGTTACGTGTAAATTTAGATTTAGTAGGCCAACGACTTTCAGTTGATGCAAATGCACCGATCATTCCTTTCACCAAAAGGGGGCCCAGCTAGTTTAAAACTAAGTCCCTAGTTCAGAAATGTGTTCAATTTACTAAACCAACACCAAAGATTATGCTTTTTTTTTGTCCGTTGCATCATAAAGTTTTGTTTCGTCTTTGGTGAAGCGAAGTATTCAATGTTTCATAACAACTGTTGTTATTCCGCACAGCGATTAGCTGTTCGCTCTGCAGGATTTCTTGTTTACTTATCGATATCATCCGTGGTCTCTGGCGTAATATATAAACAATCTTCTCTTCCCTCAAATTGTAGCATGCACGGTGAAACGCAATAAAGTGTTACAATAAATTGCCACACTTTGAGAGAACAGCAGCCTTTTTGGTCTTTTTAATTCATTTTTTTCTGATGCAAACACAAGTACTTTCAATGACAAGACAATCGACGCTGCGGTTCCCATTCGATTAAGGGAAACAATCCCATTATTGTACCATTGT